AAAAACAAACATAGTGTAACTATTGCAGCCTTGACCAATGAGAATCTAGATTGGATAACACGTGGAAGGCTGGATACAAACTAATGATGCACGGCTTTTCTGAGTATAAAATATCGCGGAACCAAAGGTATAACATCCCCGACAATTATATAACATCGCGGAACCAAAGGTATAACATCCCCGAAAATCGTAAAACATCGCGGAACCAAAGGTATAACATCTCCGACAATCTTATAACATCGCGGAACCAATCGTATAACATCCACGACAATCGTATAACATCGCGGAACAAATCCTATAAGATCCAAGACAGTCGTACAATATTGCCGAATTTGTAGTTATGGTTCACCGTATTCCATAAACACGATGTAGATACCATGACCGAACACCTCCGCGCTGTGGCGATCCAGCACTATGGCTCTTAACACTGAGGGGCTTGGTCAACAGCGTAATACGTATGCCATTCATCGACAGTATACAAGTAAGGTTCATGTTATAATTTTACATATTTTATTCAAATGAAATGGCAGACATAGTTTGATTAACCCGGAAGTGTCACTACACATGCTATCTATTTATGAAACATGTCTATTTATAAAATATGATGTGTACATTTAGTTACATATCGATTGTTCGAAAAACCCATCATTATTTACAGATAAAGAGGGCGTCGGTTGCGAGAAACGAGTTTCTAGGTAATATTATCTCAACGAATTTCCGGAAATGACTCGCCCGAGCGACACAGTATATAACGCAATATAGTCGATTGTTGTTCAGTCAGTAGACGTCTTATCCGATAATAAACACCTATCTTTCTACCGGGTTGCTACGGCAGGGGATTTTGAACGTATGAGGTAAGTTGAGGGGTAACACGCGTTTACCGAGCACTGAAACCCGTTTACTTTTCAGCGTGCAGGCGTCCTTGAGTCCTATCGCTGTTATATGTACAAAATAATATAAGCCAATGCGCTTACTGATTGACCTGCCAGTTTTTCATTGTCGGTGAGACATAAATTATTACGTATTGTGTATTAAAAAATTACAGCTGCAATATAGTGACGTACATTGGAATTCGGGGTTTTCTTTCTGGCGTTATTAAAAAAATTACATTTTAGGTGATAATCCCAAAGATTATGTTGATCAATACATTTGTGCAAAATTGCATTATATTTTTATTAGTCGAGGTTTGTGGGCATGCATGTAGCGCGTGGTTGACGTATACCAATATGGGAGCAAAGGTCGAGTTGTATTACAGTCTATACAGTGACGTAGGGGCGAATCAGACAACATGTATATTTGTATAATCATCGGAATTGAATTTTGTCTATTTTGGAAAATGTGACATGTCTTAGTCCATCGTGTCTTATCCGTTCCATATGAAACAAATGTGAAATGCCATAAAACAGGGAAAGCATGCTATTTTCACTCTATTCTGTACACCGTGTTTCTCCGAACCGAGTACGGTGACCCCCATATTTTTATTTCATTTTCCTCGTGACAAATGATGAGAATTTCAAATTTGGCTTTCTGTGTAGGATTCTATGTTAAAGGCGGTGGTCGTCATGTGCGACATTTGTGTTGATAAACATAAATTTTCCCATAATCCAATGCGCTCTCTTAATGTAAATCACAAGTATGAGGTTTGACCTAGACGTGACTTGCACAAATTACTATCAGGGGTAAATTCTTCTCCTCTAGGGTTCTCCACATGTGTCAGGGGGAAATATCGTTTCGTCTCTTTATCTCGTCCCCTTGAGGTACGGGACCGGGAAAGTCAGTTAAACTTTACAGTCAAATAAGACGCACACAACAAAATACGTTTCAACTCTCGTCTTAGTCGGTCAGTCGAGTACTCTATAAGACACAGCGCCCTGGGGAAAAGGTCCCCAAGACTATTGCAAGGCTGACTCAAGACTCTCTAGATTGCGTCAAGACTCCCCATGACTCTCCAGGACTGCGTCTCTCCTCGTGTACTCGCTAAGACCAACTAAAACAACTTTATTCATTTTCAAAACCTTAACCAATTACAGAGCAGTAAAAAGACTCTAGAGCGTAACCTTCACACATTCGACCTGCATACAGCCAATCACACTGAAGTACTGAACACGTCATATCTTTTGATTAATCGTTCACTACATTAATAACTACGAATACTAACTGTCAGAAATAGTAGTCCGAATAGCGACGGTTATCTCGTAATTAGTTCCAAATCACTGAGTCGAGTTCCGTCCAGGACCTCGCCTGCCTAAACGATGACAGATATAACACCTCCATTCGCTAGTAATCAGCTAATTAAGTCGATTAACAGATACGCAAAAACAAATTCATCACATTACCGCCGGTGACTCCTTCCATACCTTCAACTAACTAAAGCCTGGTAGTAACGTAGTCTCGTACACTACAACATACAGCGCTGTTTGTGCTGATAAGCTTTGGTGAGGCGAAGCGGCAAGTGACTTGCTTTAATAGTCAACTACTCAAGTAGGGTAGTCGTTCGGTCCTTGACGACCAACGTAGTCTTCGTTTTTTTGGGGTCAGTTTCATATAAAATTATGAATTATGCAGTGAATATTGTGACAATGTAATCCCACATACAGCTGATATGAAAAAATCACTGAACGTATACACTTTTCTTCTCCAAACGGAATATAAATGCACGCGTTCTCACCTTACGTGGAATCGGCTGATCTGTTTACACGTACGCATAGACGTTCCCAGGATTCGATGACATCGACGCACAAACGCGTGACGTCACGCGTAATCGTCACGTAAAACCCAAACCATGAAGAGCGCTCCGCGCGGCACGTGGTGATAATGTCACTGTAATGCTTTCAACTCTCACAACTCGTTTCAATGCATTCTTTTCAGATTTATTGCAAAAAAGAACTAACATGGCTGCGATAATACGCAACGCCATGCAAGAGTATAACGTGTATCCAAGTGATATTGACGGGAAATATAAATTACAGAACGTACGTGGAAACGCACATTCTCGTTGTTCACGTAAAACATGTGGAAAGTCATGGGGCTCTCATCTTGGGTGGATAACGATAGATTTCCAACAACGAAGGATAAGTAAATTCTGGCAACAGAAATGTAAATCTTGCGGACAAACAGAAAGAATGCACTTCAGCCCAGACGAACTGGCCAGAATGATTGAAATCGCACTTATCAGGTATATTATTATGTTTAGTCAATAGGTATAATCAGACAAGACGGTTAAAGTTATGTTCACGGTATCCTTCGGACAGGGGGGCAAGGGGTAGCTGGTACAGTTTTACATGAAATAAAAAGGGCTTTTTACAATTTGCAAGGAAAAATAGACGTTTTTACAGTTTACAGTGAAAATTGAATTTTGCAGTGAATTGTGTCATCTAGTCGTTTTACAGTTTCGAAAATGTAATTTCCCTGGATTTTTCTTTACGATTTTTTTTATTTGGATGTAAATTCTTGTACGTACCGAGAAAAAATGCACATTTTTACAGTGTACGAAAAAAATATTTGATTGATTACGTTGTACGTCTAGCCTGTGATTACAGAATTACGGAATTTATTTTTTCAATTTACGTTGTACGAACAAAAAATATTGCAATTACGTTGAACGAAAATAACCCTTGCCCCCCACTTCGGAGGACCACAGTGATCTGACTGAGGTCGCATTATACAATCGAATGTGTTGTGTTACACTTATATTGAGAAATGGTATAAGTCACGTCCCCCTCTCTATGACGACCACATATCCAACCAATATGGAAGTTATGAATGTAGTCCTTACTCCCATCACAATGCTTCCGGTGTTGGTCCGTATTTGAATATACACTGAAAATACTTTTTTTTTCTATATTTTACATTCAACTCATTAACAATCAGTGACAATAAACTTCATACAAAATGCTAGAATGTCTTTTCAGTGAAAATTAATTCCAGCTAAAATGAAATATTTTACATCAGAAGGTCTGTGCACAAACAAAACTTAACAATTATATGTTGAAGTGGTAATTGTGATTGCTATGTTTATGTGGTTTAAATTATTTCAGATGCCTGGCGTTAATTGATGGAACATATGTTGACAATCGTCGGGATGGAGAAGACACTACTATAGCAAAGCCACACAAGCCTGAGTTGTGTGAGAAATGCAAGTGGGGGGAACGAAGGTGCTGGGTTTCGAGAGCACGTTAAAACTGATACAAATGATTCGTTTACATTGTATAACCTGAGACAACGAGCCTTTTAGGATTAAGCCAGTGGTCTGAAAACTACGGCATAGTATTCTAATTACGCTTATATATTCCTCTATGGAAAATCAGTTGATGATAAATAAACTAAAGACACTCATATCAAAAGGAGGATAACAGTTAATTCCATAAACCTTTCACAACAAATATACGCCTTTTGCGCATTGTACTGCCTAATGGTCCAGCCAGTTAACAACGCCAGCATGAAGCAGTGTATCAGCAGGGTGTTTATTGTGGTATATTTCCAGACAAATAATTAATTATTATTCTGATGTATATCTGCATTTTAACTTGAAGACAAATAATAGGTACAGACTTCACAAATGTACCCTATGTCACAGCAACCTTAAAGGAACGAAATGTCAACTCAGAATATAGCCAGTGCCTTCAAACTTGGAACACATGTCGTTCATGCAAGCCACACATCACATCACGAGTTTCAGAGACAAAATGTCAAAGGTCATTGTGTGGGTTTCGGAATTCATACTATTATGGTTTTTTTTTACTTCCATGGCGTTGTGCAATATGACTTCATGAGGGAAAAATAGCCAATGTCATTAACATTGACAAACATATTCTCTTTGCGATTCCAATAACCCTGCTACATTTCAAAGTCAAGGGTTAAGATCACAGTACGAGTTTATGTAGGCGAGTTACATAACTATAGGAGAAGTAGCAAGGCCTTGTAAAATGGCAGACGTATTCCACATGCGACTCACAACACAACACAACGCATTTTCAAGACAAAAAGTAATAGTCATCGGATTGGATCATGATTTATCATATTAACTGACAACACACACAAACAGCACAAGTCTTTTTATGAGCTTGTATTGCAGTCACTTAAAGTGGCCGATTGGTGGTCATTTTGAATCCGATTTGAAAAACAAAATGATGTGCATCAGGGACACATAACGCTTGATTTTTGATGATTTTTTAGCAAAAAAAAAAGCCACCATTCGGCCATTTTGAATCTGATCGTCAAACCAATACATCTGTATATCTATGAGATGATATATTATGAATATTTAAAATTTGAACATAATCAGTCCAAACATGTCAGAGATATAACCTTTAAAAAATTCAGGAATCAAAGCTGTGTTGATATATTATATATATAATGTGTGATGGCAAGGAGTGGTTCGATTTACTTCGATTTATGCTGCTGCAAAAAGAATTGCCTAGATTTTGCTAAAATGTCAAAAAATCATGAAATTGGGGTCAAAAAGTTTGACAGGACTGTGAAAATTTGGGTCAAAATAGCAGCATATACCTTCAACTATTGGAGTATTCTCATAAACAATGTTATTCAACGTTTTTGAATCATGGGAGAGGATTTCAAAACTTTAATAATGGGATGACGTTTTGACCAACAAAGAAAACACACAATTAAAAACAAATTGTAAATTCTTTAATATATTATTATTATAATATAACTATATGGACACTATAATGTGCAGTTATAAAGTAAAAATATAAAATAAATAATAGTATAACAGATAATATAAAAATATTGAATAAGTAATGCAGACACTTGTATGGGAATGTTCAGCAGGTTAGTGAAAAAAAACAGAAAGTTATACTGTAACTTTCAGAAGAATCTACATATTAATTTCACTAAATCAGGAACTAATTGTTCAAATTAGTTTAAACACCAAATAAAAACTTTGCAGTATTCTCATGATAACCCAAGTCTTTATTATACATACTTTTTCGGGGTCATAGTAATAATTTAATAAGAGGTAACAGCTCTAAATGGCAATGAAAAGTGTTTTGTGCTGTGCGAACATGTGCGTTCATTGACGGGATTCTATTTCCATCACGTATAGTATTCATTGATCTGGAATGCTTTCAATATTAGTGACATAAGAAATATTTGAACATTTGAAAAAGTGCAAATATGTTTTGAACTAATGCAAATACAACTTTTTTTATGAATAATTAAAATATATTTTTTCTGTTCTAAATGCAGATGTGTAAATATTCAAGTTACAACATAAAAATATTTCAAACTAATATAACTACGAAGTGTGACGTTCCATTCATCTCTAAATTGGTGAAAAACTAAAACTAAAACAGTTGTCTTTCATTATCAATACAATAAGGACAACAGCAAATCCTCATTCCCTCCACAACCTGCAAGAATCACATATTAAAAATCAGTCTACAGAACAAACACAGATAATTATAAACACTGTGTGAAAACACTTGGCAAACTTATACCACAAGACAAAGTGCAAATATTAGGTTAAAAATTGAGTTAACAGCTACAAGTTTATAAGCACTATAAAATATGCATATATTTTAAAACAATTTCAAATTTATTATCATAAAAATTAGCACCATTATTGTTTTGGAAGTATTTAAGTGAACCATAATGTATTACCATATTTGGTCTGAAAGAGAAATGACAGAAGTGTGCTCATGGAAAAAATATGTAATATTTTAATGATCCATTACTGTAACAATACATGCAATATTTTGTCTATATACACTTCTATTAGGGATGCATTTCAATAGAGAAAATACAGTAAAGGTATTATTTATTAACTCCCTAGTTAAGACAAGATGAGTTTTTTCATTTTTGTCTTGTGTATGCTATTCACTCTCTGCATGTCTTCTTCATGGATTTCAAAATCAAATACCTGGTGGGAAAGTGATAATCAGTATTAAAATGTAGAAATGCTTACAATGGCATTAAAATAACCATAGTGAAACTACTGTGTAATACTTTATTTTCGCTGGAATACATTTTCGCTGAAAAGGCTTTTTGGGCATTTTGTATGGAATTTATTTTCACTGATTTTTGATGAGTTTAATGTGAAATATAGGAAAAAAAGTATATTCGCTGGATTTTATTTTTACGGAATCATCCCTTCAGCGAAAATAAATTCCAAGCAAAAATAAAGTATTCTACAGTATTCCATGTTGAGACCTGATACATTGTTTTGTATAACATGCAATTTAAGGGGTTTACATTATAAATATGTTGAATAAGATTGCAAAATGATTTTTTCCCAGTTTTAATTACATTAAGTTGCATGACTTCAGGTGAATTAACTCCCAAAATTGTCCTGGTCCTAGCCCTAGTGCAATCTACAGTAATTAATTAACACTGACCATGTGAATATTAATAAATTAATGTAATCACAATTGCCTGCACTCACATGGGCAAGCTGAACTGGCAGTTTAGTGGTCCAATATTATGGTGTACATTAAAAGTCAGAAGCCCATGAATAAAACAGGATTTTACTACTTTATCATAAGATGTACATTCTAATCTAAATGATAATAGCATGTCAGTCTCTAGTACGAGTGATTGTACATAATAAGCAAAAATGATATAAGCAAAAATATAACAATAAAAAAACTGACCTGAAAGTTCTCATGGACACGAGACTCTTTAGTAGTTTTTGGAATTGTGACGACATCATTCTATACAAAGAACAGAACATAATAACAAATTATGACAGATGAAAAAATTAGAATTCATCAGAATTGTTTCACACATTTTCAACTGCAACAAATCTAGCTTGTTATGACAGATGCCAAACACATTTCTCCACATTGAATAAGTTGTTCCAGTTTGATTGACATCCGAGAACTCAATAGAACACTGCTCTGCTAGACCAAAATGAATATCAGAAATGTTTTAAAACAGTCACTGTATTTGAGCATGAACTTATTATGTATATAAAAGAAGTATGTTCAGTCAAATAAAGTCATATTTTAATAATCTAGCATACAATTGATCCCATTTCAGGCTATTGCAAATGTGCCTTTAATTCTTGGGGGTGAACGTCTGGTCATTTTCACCACCAAACTCTCAAACAACTGTAATTTGGGATAGTTGCTCAGACACTGAACAGTGTAACAAGAATACCTGTACATGTGCAACAGATATATATTTGGTTGCACAGGATTGCTTCCAAGTTGAGTTTGTGCTGTTTTCTTGACTCTAGCTGTTTTCACCAGCTTTGACCGGTGTTCCACAGCAGCTCATACAAAGCCCAAAGAAATACATGGTACAGTGATACACGTCTTGGCAACGTTAAATGTTCCGTGATGTAGCTCCGCCCCCATAAATTGAGCAAATACTGGATGAATGGATCACTGTCTCCTAAGCAACATACCTGAATATTCCATCTAATCAGTATCTGAGATTTAGTCTTCTTGTATTTATTTGCTAATTCTTGGATGATTGGTTCCTCTAAAGCTAATCCCTGAGATAGAGGGCAGTAGCCCTACAGAGAGATTTAAGAATATTAACTTAATTTCATGGCAATTATTTCCCTTCAATCAAAGTACATGTAATGTACAAAGTATTAATTTGTTGGTTCAAAACCAAGAGACTCTCATAGATACATAGATATGTTTTACTATGGATTATAAGATAACTAAAGGAGTGCAACTGGTGTATATGCAAAGGGAGTCACACGAATTGATGATCACAAAATCGCAATACATTTTTAAAAAGCAAATGACTGTTCGTCACAAGCTTTTTATGCTTGTGTCCTTGCTTATTCGTATACAGTGATAATCTTGTTTAATTAAACAATCAAACCATTCCAAGAGTCCACAGCATTCTGTATGACATTGGGTAATATATTTGATTCATCGGTGCATGAAACTCGCGAATTCATGAGATCTTCATCACATATCATTGTTGCACAACCCCTATCTTATGAACCTTTGGTTTTACTTAATATGCTGAAATTAGAACTAAAGAAATGAGATTATCAATAAGATTGTTTTTAACTGTACCTACCTCAACACATATTCCTTTATCTTTGCAATACTGTATTAGCTCCATAGGTCTGTAGTAAATATGATGTTCTATCTAAACAAATAAACACAAGCCATGCATGGCACAGTCCCTGTTAGTTATCAAATTTAAGATAAATAGTTTTGTTTATAGTAATATAGCTGGAATATAAACATGTCAGGAATATAATTATGATGATTGTATAACATTGAAATGATTGACATATGTATCTGATCGTCAAACAAGTATTGAGAGATATTGCTCTGGAACAGCATTAATTATTAAAACAAAATCAGCCATTTTGAATACATGTATAATGAATATTTAAAATTTGAACATAATCAGTCACAGCAAGTCAGAGATATGGCACTAGAACCACATTCATTAAAACAAAATGGCCGCCAGTCGGCATTTTGAATCTTATCTGGAAAAAAAATGATGTGCATCAAGGTTCTATAATGCCCAACGTATATACCAAGTTTGAACAAAATCCATCTGTAAACAGCCGAGAATTTGACTTTGTTGATTTTTAGAACAAAAATGGCCACCATTCGGCCATCTTGAAACAGATCGTGAAACAAATTGATGTGCATATGTATAATATCATGTATGAAGTTTGATTGTGATTGGTCCAGGCATTTCTAAGATACAGGTCCAGATGCACGCACGAACGCACGGAGGCACGGATGCACAGACGCAAGAACACACAGAGGTCAAAACATAAGTCCCTGTTTTCGGACTGCGACCGAACAGGGATAAAAAATGATTAAAATGAATACGATCAGAACAAGAATACATAAGACAAGGATGTGAGCGGATATAAATGTACAATGTAATTTTTTTGCAGTTCTCCTAACAATTCTGGTAACCAAACTTCTGTATCAAGATATTTACAAACGAATGTCAAAAAATCCTTTGCAATTTAGATAATGGTATTTGCCACAACGACCAGCTCCAATTATGTTATCAAAGGCTACATATTCTTGATAATAGTATCGCGGTAGTTAGGTTGTAATATATGACTTTTGTCAAAACACTAGTCCTGTACAATTGAATAAATTGAATAGATCTGCAAATGGTTGTTAAGATCTTGTTGAGAACGAGAAAGCCACATAACTTGTTTTTTTCAAATAATGCTCCATTCTTTACTGCATCATGTCCGGTGTACAAATACATGTAGATCAGTGGAGCAGCAGACTCAATAATGGGAGAAAATAGAACACTATTCTAGGGGAAAGTCTCTCGTTCTCATTGACATCATGAAAACCATATTCATCTATGGTTTTTCAATTTATCTAGTTGTACAGAATTAAAGTACTGAAAAAAGTAAGGCACATTCAAACTAAACCATCGTAATGAAATCTGTCTGATTACAAGTTACAATTATTCTGTTGTTCTACGTTAAAGGGTGCTCCTCATATTAAATTTAATATACTGTATTAAAAATACACAAATGTACTTTATTTTCGCTTGGAATTAATTTTTGCTATTTTTCGATGAAGGGATGATTCAGTGAAAATAAAAACTAGCGAATATAACTATTTTTCCTATATTTCACATTCAAACTCATCAAAAATCAGTGAAAATAAATTCCATACAAAACACCCAAAAAGCCTTTTCAGCGAAAATTAATGCCAGCTACCGTACAATAAAGTATTTTACAGTAAACAAACACGCATTGTATACATTATTTTGTGACCACATTGAAAAAAACATGATTCAATGACCACTGCCTATTCAGATACAAATGAGAATGATACTGTGGTACTAAAATTATTAACTTACAAACACTGAAGTTATGAGAATTTTGAAACAAATTCACTCAAGACCTGAATGGTATAAAGGTGTAAATACCTGATTTACATGTGGTATGATGTCCCAGGTTTCTTCCAAATCTCTCAAATGTGAAACTTCAAAATTGCTGACTCCTATGGCTTTACACAGACCTACAGAATAATGATAGTAATTCATAAAATAGTGCATGTAATTAGATTACTTGCATCTACATGCTAGCAGAGTCCTACTAAACTAAAATCATGAAAGTACAAACAAAAATTAATTGGTAGTATATGTTGTCATATGATATCAGGGTTCTCACCAGGGCATTATAGAGTGTGAGTTCATACATTTATTCTGTTGTTATGCAAATTAGCCAAGACTCTATGCTATTTTTTTGGGAAGAACACTGAATATCCCTCACACTGTACTCAAGTGAATAGATTACTGTAAAATAATTTTTATTTGCTTGGAATTAATTTTCGTTGAAGGAAAGATTCAAAAATAAAATATTAAAATCCAGCGAATATTCCTTTTTTCCTATATTTTACATTCAACTTGTCATACCGGTAAATCAGTGAAAATAAATTCAATACAAAACACCCAATCCAAATCAATAAAGTCCGAAGTTTGAAAATGCTGTATTTGTATGCAAATTAGATTTGGCATAAATTCCCAATTAGTATTTATTTATTTATTTATTTATTTATTGCTTCCTTTTTGTAACAGGGGCTCACTATGTATTAAAACGAGGAGCTGCACCAAATAAAAAATACATTTCACTCAAAGACTTATGGATAAAAAAAAAAACTTTTGATAAACAAAAAGAAATTAAGTTACATGAACTAAGATAACAAAATATAACAACAACAAAAGACATCTAAAAGTAGCAACAACAAAAAAAAATAAGAAAA